CCTCCCATCACCCAGCCGCGGCCCACCCCCACCTCGTCGCCACACGTGCTGCAGGTAGCGCGCCCACTCAATGCCAGCGTACTCCACCTTGCTCTTTCCCTGGTCTCTGAAGGGGGCGCAGGCGCAGGCGTACGCGCAGGCACACGCGTGGGCGGTGCGTGGCTGCGGGCGCACGGCCGAGTCGGTGGGCTCACAGGGAGCGACTCGCGGCCCGCCCAAAACCCCCGTGGCCAGGGCCGTTTGGCTCCCGCGACGCGACGACGGCCAGGCTGTGCAGCGGCGCCTCTGGGCCTCCTGCGCGGCTGAGGTGGGGCCGCGCGGCCGTGCGCCGGCGCGAGGCTGTTCCCGTGCTCATGCATGCGTGCACGGGAGTCCCCGCTGCCTCACTTGCCGCTGCCGAGGAGGGAGGCCTTCTTCTTGGTGGAGCGCTCCTTCTGGTAATACCCGCTGCCCCTGTCGAGCGTCCACCTGCGTGCATGATGCCATGCGCCAAAGGGATCAGGCGGCAGGGGCAGCATGCACAGGGGGGCTCGCGGATCACACAGGGGAGCCCCTCAACAGGCGGCGACTTGGAGCACTCCCGCATGCCGCCTGGTACGCACATGGGGTTGTTGCGAATCCGGGCCTGCGCCATGTCCTGTTCGGCCTCTGCAGTAGTAGCGGTGCTGAGGCCGGAGGGCGCGCCCCACGCGAACGAGTTCCCCTGGCTGCCACGCGGCAGCAGTGGATCGGCGCAGCTGGGGGCAGGGTGCTCCATTCCGACCAGCCTGCGCCACCAGCTCATCTTCGCTATTGATGCCACCTACTGTCTCAATTTTGAGTTTCCATGTAATATGATCGGTTGGTTTGGACTCAACTTCGATCGACAGATCGAGTCCTGATTCAATACCTTGCACAGTATACAATAAATGCGGGCTAGTGATCTCACATTTGCCCACGTGCGGCGCTGGGTGCTTCGATGTAACCACAGGTACAGTCCAAGCGCAGCTGCAAGCGTGCTTCCATTGAGGCATCCCAGCCTGTGGCTCACAACCTGTGATCGGCACCATATCCACAGTAACCATGTCAAGGGCTGACATCAAGCGACTGCTTTCACATGAAAAAGTGCGCGCTGGTGACATGTATGCGAGGGCGCAAGGCAAGCTGGGCTGGTGCCCCCTGCAACTGGTGGCGCCCCATTGCTCGAGCGCAAATGTGGACTCGAAAGCGCAGGCAGGACGCCTTCCTACTGGCAAAAACAGGCAGGACACTGTCCCACGCACATGCTTCCTTTCAACTGGCACGCCGTCTGCAGATGGCCATGGCAAGTCCTTTCCGGGAGTGGGTGACAGCGCCCAGCATGCAGCGGCCCCCGCCAGCCAAGCGCAGTCAGTGGCACCCGGGCTCGCAGCGCCTGGCGTGTGCGCGTGCACGCACGGCGTTCGGTCAGCAGCGCACAGCCGAAACTCAGTGCATGCCTGATCGGATGCTGCGAGCGGGGCGGAGGAACAACAATCGCAGCGGCCAATGCTTGCTTTGCACTACGTAGCCGGCAGAGGGCTGTGAGCAAGCGGGACGCACGGGCGGTCACCTTTGCAAGGAAGGAGCAGGTCGCCCGCAGGCGACAAGGGCCGCGGTGCTAAGCTGCTCCGTGAGCTGCCTGCGGGTCCGAAAGGCGTGACGGTGCCAGTTGGAAACTTGTGGGGAACAAAAGGACTGTTGACCGCCTCCCTTGCAGGCACCGTGCCTGACCCCACGGCAATGCCCTGTTGTCACCCCTCCAGGACGTCCGTGCCACAAATGCATGCTGAGCGTGCCGCCTGAGGGGCCAGGAACGGGAGCAATGCTGTCCGCCTGCCAGCTGGCCGGGAGGGCTGTACAGTACTGCGCAACGGGGGCTGGATGCAGGACGGGGCGGAGTCGCGCGGGGGCGGCCCTGACGCGGTCCCCAAGTGGTGGCGACGAGCAGCCAGCAGCTGGTCAAACCTTGCCGCCTATGGCTCAACACTTGAGCTGCCAAGCACGCACACAAAAAGCGCTTCATTCGGCAGGTGCTGGAAAGGATAGAAAATGGCAAATTTTACAAATTGGTTGTGCTACTCTTGCGACCTAGACAAACGCAGGCATCGCGGCCAGCGCCTCGTGCGACCTGGACAAATGCAGGCATTGCGGCCAGCGCCTCGTGCCACGCCTTGCGGCGGCTAATCGTGCATCAGAACAACTGTGATGCACCAACGCGTGGAGCGCGGACATCGTGATCATGCACCCAGGAAGATGATGGAGGCCGCCTCAGGCGGCGGCTCAGCCGATTTCAGGAGGCAGCCTTGAAGCCCAGCAGGTGTATGAGGGCAACAAGGCCGAGGTGACGAATGTCCCCAGCAAGCGTTTGGATTCAAAGTGGTAGGAATCGATTGCAGTTGTTGAGATAGTCACTATTTGCGATGCATCTGCGATATGCTGTCTGTTGCAGTTCCTAGAGGCCGGCCTGTTGCGAATGGTGCAAACCCACCAGCGCCGGCAACCGTGACGTGCACGCCCGCCCAGCACCGGCGTGCGGGTGCGGCAGGCGCAGGGGGCGCCGAGGACGGAGCCGCCTGAATTACGCCTCGGCGGTGGTGGTGGTCATGACGCCGCCCGACCTAACGCCGGGGTTGCTCGCACGCGCGGCGCCGGCACCGTTAGGCGCCGCAGCTGTGCTTTGGCCCTTGACGGGCGCGGCCGGCGCGGCAATGGCAGGGGCCCCCCCCGGCTGCGGCCGCGGCGGAGCCGGCGCGCGCCACGGTAGGGATGACGGCGGTGAGGTCGGCAGGCAGTTATGCCATAGGGGTGATGCCGTTGCCAATCACCACCGCGGGCGCCTGGATCACGCGCATGGCCCCGGCAGCCGCGGGCGCTGCGGCGGCGGCCTGCGCGGTCCCAGTGGCAGGGGACGCGACGGCCTTGGCGGCCGCGGCGGCTGCCGGCGCCGGCGCCGGCTTCGGGAGGGCGGGCTTGCCGGCAAGCGCGGCGGCGGCGGGCTCGGCGGCAGCCGCAGGCTTGGGTGCTGGCGGCGCCATCATGGCGGCCGCCCAGGCGTTCTGCTCCCCGGCGGCGGCCATCATCTCAGCGTGCATGGCCTGGGCCTGGGCAAAGGTGAGAGGCGCCCCACCCATAGCGCTGGCACTGCCCGGCGCGGCGTCAGAGATGCTAGTGGGGTTGGCGCGCTCGCCCAGCTTGCGGCCCCGGATCTGGCCCCTGCCGTCTTGGTTCATGAAGGGGTTGCCGAAGTTGTCAAATGCCGTGGTTATGCCGCCCATGAAGTCGACACCCTGGCTGCCAAAGTACATGGCGCCGTTGGTGTTGGTGACGGGCGTCCTGTCGGGCGCAAAGCCGGCCGTGCGGCCGCCAAAGGCCGTGATGCTGGCGTCGGCCGCAGCAGCGGCACGCTCGCCCAGCATGCGGCGGTTGCGCCAGCCGTAGCCGCCGCTGCTGGCCACGTAGCCACCAAAGTTGTTGGAGGCTGGCTGGCCGCCGGTGAAGCCGGAGCCGCGGCGGGTTCCGAAGGTGTTGCCAAAGCCACTGGAAAGGCCGCTGGGGCCGTAGGCGCCGCTGCCGCCCAAAGTGTAGGGGGTCTGATCGGCGGCGGCGGCAAGAAGCTCGCCCAGGCTGCGGGGCGCGCTAGGGCCTTGCGCCAGGGCGCCCGGGCCCAGGAGCACGCAGAGGGCTGTACGGTGGGGAGAGGGGGTTGCGGGTGGCTTAAGACAGAGGGGTGCTTCAAAGGGGGAAGGAAGTAGGTTGGATGGGCTGCTCGCATCACGCCCAGCCAAGCGGTGCGGATTAGGGCACCCTTGTCAACCAGCAGCCGCGCAAGCTGGTTGACCCCCACGAGCTGGCAGCTGAGCGCTGCTCATGTGGCGCTGGTGTTCACACCTAGCAGTGCGAGGGCGAGTGGGCGAGCCATGTCACAGGCGTGACGAGTTGTTATGTATTCTTTGACGTGTGACTGTCTCTTTGCGAGTGGCACGGTCGCTATCAAGAGGTTCAAGGGGACGTGCTCGCTGTGCGTTGGCTGAGTGGGTCGCGGGGCTGGTTGATTGATGTGCGATCCATCCGCGCTGTGCTATTTAACCCATACAGCTCACTTGTCGAGGTACTGCTGGAAGCTGCACTGCAGTGGGGACTCCACACTCCATGGGGCAGCTGGGCTGACACCCGGTGACGCCCCCTGCGCCGCAGCTGCTGCTACAGTACGATCGACGGCGGGTCCACTGCGCTGGCCGTGCCAGACGACCCCTGCGAAATCATGCATATATCATCCCACTTGTAGCTGCCCGGCAAAAGCTCAGCGGCGCATTGCGGAGATGCCAGGCACCTGCCTGTTGTCGTGAGACCCAAACTGTCCTCCTACTGCCCTCAGCGGCCCTCAGCGCCCTTGAGCCAACTCCATGTCCATCAAGGCACCTGTTATCATGGTGCCATTCCTGCGAGACACAGAGAGGGGCGGCGCAGCCTCACCCGTAGTTCCGTACTTGCTTGTTGGTGCACACGCAGTGCGTGTGAGCTGCGTGCCCCAGCTGGCGTCCTGCGACGCCCACACCTCCTCATCAATGAAACAAAGTCAAGGTTGGCTGTCACCACCAGTCACAGGGCTGTTGACTGTCATCTGAGGCTTTCTCTGGCGGGGCTGTTTTGAGCTTTCAACGGAGGCTCCCACATCCACCTCTCACCCCGCCAGTCACACACTCGATAAGCATGAACATCGTTTAGGCTGGAGCATATGTCACAAAATCAACAGTCTGGGTTCTGCCGCTGCCCAAGAGTGCGGGAAGCTTGGGGGTGGCCAAGATGGGGAGACAGGTGGTAGCAACCTGCACAACTGGGGTACCCCGTGCACAAGTATTGCGTTAGCCACTCCCGGGGCTGCAAGCCTTGCAGCGATGAGAGCTGGTTGCTCAGTTTCTATTGTTGCCGCGCTGAGCGGTCGTCGCTCCATGGCTCCTGCATACCGTATACATCAAAATCCACGACATGCAGAGAGGACCTCATCCACATCTTAATGACCACTGCTGCACGAAGCTTGCGACGCACGAAGCCAGCATCCGATGCATGCAAATGGAGACCAAGTCACACAGAATGTGCGTGCATTTCAGGCACGAACAGTGGTGTACATTGCAGCAACCGTGCAACAGATCGTCCCACAGGATCATCAGGTAAGTGGACCAGGGAAGGTTGACCAGTCACAAGTTGCAGGCCAGGGACCGTCTGCTTACATTATCACAGGGTTTTGGGTGACAGGCTACTTCTGCACTGCTGAAAGGCGCAGAGAGGTGATGTGGATCTCCTGGCCGGCAAGGTGGCCGCAAACCTATTCGCCTGTGCCAACCCAATATGGAGGGTGTGCATACATTAAAAGGCATTAAATAGCTTGCCATATACCCTTAGCTGCACAACACAACCGCGGCACCGACTTGGCCCGTGCGTTGCTCGACACTCGAGGACTGGGGGTGCATCAAAGAGGCAGAGGGTCATCAAAGACACCTTGTAGTCCTGCTGTCGAGTTGCTGCAGCTACGCCGTCGAGTCGCGGCCTTGCTGTAAGCCGCGGGGTGGGTTCAAGGGCAGGTCGTCCTTCGTGCCTAGAGAAGCACTGCAGCTGCACGGCTGCAACGGTTGCAGTTTTATGATTTTACCTGGCCCTGCTCCTTTCGCAGGCTCTGGATGGGACGGAAAGGCGGTTTGCAGACCAACATAGCAGGGCGCGCCTGATGCGGCGCTCCCGCTGAGCTCCCTGGCCAGCGACCCGCCAGAGCCTTGGCCCGCCGCCATGGCGACGGGCACGATCCCCATCCCGCGCAGCTCGTCCCGGTCGTCGCTCTGCGCCGCCGCCGACGGCTGCGGGGACGCCGCGGCGGGGCCGCCGGCGCCCGGGGCCGCGGGCCGCCCCTCGGCGCTGGCAGCCACGGATGAGGGCCTGCAGATGCTGCGGGAGCTGCAGGGGCACAACACCATGCTGCGGCGCGAACTAATGGGCGCGGGCTCCGCCATCGACCGTCTGGTCAACACGGTGCGCGCCCGCGGCGCGCTGCCAGGGGCCTGCGTGCGCGGCCGCGAACACGACCCAACCGACGCGGCGCCGGCGGCCGCAGGGCCCCGCGCGGCGTGCGGGTCCTGCGAGCCCCAAGGAAGCATTTCCGCCATGCTGCACTGATGCTCCTTCCTGCCGCTTGCATGGTGGGCGTCAGTGACGGCCCACGTCTTGCACGCGCGCCCCTTTGAAACCGGCCCGCGTCCCCCGCCCCTCTGCAGATGGCAGAAGAGGAGATGCGCGCGAGCGCGCTCGCGGCCCAGAACGCGCGGCTGCAGGTGCAGCTGCGGGAGCTGCAGGAGCTGCGGGAGCGGCAGGAGCAACAGCAGCAGCAGCAGCAACAGCAGCCGCAGCAGCAGCAGGCCCTCCACCCAGCCGTGCCGCCGCTGGCGGCCCTCCGCCTCCGCCGCGCGCCCTCCG